TTTGGTTTAAACTGCTTGTGTATAAATCCATTAAGGTAAATAGATGAAGCGCTGTTAAAGAAAAAAAAAAGTTGTTGCTGTTCTCCAAGGTGTTACATATGGTTAAAAATGTATGGTTCATATTCCCACTGACCTACACTTAAGCAAGGCAGGTTTTTTGCGAATTTTACACAAATAGTAAAGTGAGATGTTTTGCATTAAAAAAAAGCATAGATTAAAAAAATCACAATGAAAAAATAAAATGCATCAAAAATAAAAAGTAAAAGGTTTTGCATACCATTAACAAAACATGATTCTGAAGTGTAGATGATAAAACTGTCTTTAACCTGTATGGGAGAGCTCCAGTAAACAGTAATCTTTTGCCCAGTGATTTAAAAACACCAGCAGTGTCTGTTTATCTGAATTAATTCCAGGGCGGCTGGGGAGCACAGAAACTAGATGCTAGATGCAGGATAAATACTTTAAAAGATGTCTTTTTATTCCATCACATAACATTAGAAAAATAATCTTGCAGATTTGACAAAAGATTCAAATGGCAAGAAACTGGAGCCTTGAGCGACCCCATGTTATCTTCTTAAAATTTGTTATGGTGCTTTATTGTCCAGACATGGTGAAGATACCGTTTTCTTACATGGAGTAAAAATGTCCGCTACATCTAGATAAAAAAGTTTGACCATCAAAACAAGTATTGTGGGTTTTTTTATACTTTGACATTTTCATCAAGTTTCTCTGTAGCATTTCTGCTTCTGAATCATGCAGGGATAGAAAATTAATCTGTTGCATTTCTGCATCTGCAAAAGAAATATTCTTCACACAGATTACAGAAGCTTTAGGGATAAAAGGAATAAGACTATTGATGCAAGTACAGAGGGAAAATATCTTCCGGCACCTGTTTTAGCTTGCCCTGCCATATGAATGAACTTATAGGTGTTGGCAAAACCAAGTAATCCTACTTAAGTGACTGTGAAGGGTAAATAGAAAGTGCTTCCCTGTTGGATCAATAAAGTATCATATTATAAATGGCATGGCCACTAACTCTGTCTACTGTATGTGATAGACAGAGATTGATTTGTTCTTTGAGTCCTGAAGATAAGATTAGGTTGTAATTGTGTGACAGCTGTGTAGTAGTTGGTTTCATGCTGTCCAGGCATTTAATAGCCATGAGAAAATCACATTTGGAATGAAGTTTAAAACACATGCTTAATTGGTTTTACACAGTATCATTTACAGAAAAAAACCCTCCCTCACTTAAACTTTATCTGTACTAATGATTAGAATTGTATAGCAGTATCGGCACATTTAAAAATACTCACAGCTTCTGCGGACACATATATATTTCACCATGATTGCTCTAGTGTGAAAGTGGTTTGGGGGGGGGCACAAACGACTTAACCACGGCTTGAAAATGACTTGCTAACAGATGCCAGGCTCTGACTGAGACACAATATCCTGCAGGCAACACTTAAAATAAAATGTATCCATATTGCTGCCTTTTCTTCCAATATATCTTTCATGTCATTCTCCCACTCACTGCTTTGTAAGTGTATCCCCAAACCTTGAGTGTTAAACTAGTTAGGACCCTTGCAGATGTATGGACTGGAGTGAAAGTCTAATTTATTCAGCAATTCAAAAACATTAAAAACCACCATTCATTCAAATAAATGATTCGACTAACGATATATTGATAAACGGGCATTTTCTTAAAAACCTGTTTTCTCTTGTATTAGGTTGACCTTTTACATAACTTAAAGGGCTTAATATTTTTTGTATAATATGCAGAGCTAAAAAAAAAAAAAAATCATTATTATATTTTAACAATTCATTGTGCCAGCTGTATTAAATACTAACACTGTAAACAAAATAAGTTGTCCTAAATATTATATATATATTTTTTTAAGATAGAACAAAACAGCTGTGCAGTAACTGAATAAGATTTTTTTTATTATTATTATTTTACGCAAACAGATATGTAAAACCAGTATGCGAAATACCTGTCAATATTTGGGGGGGTCTCCGTCTCCCAATTGTTGCACAATACCGATCTAAATTTTCTCAACATGCAGAAGGCCTATAACATTTCAAAGTCAAAGTCAGCTTTAATCTCAATTCTTCACATTCACCAGACAAACAAGGACTCAAGAGCACATTTCTCATTTACCAACAGTGAAACAGATAAAGTGCACAGGCACAACAGATAAGATCAGTTCCTAATACTGAAATTTAAACACTCAATTTCACAATAAAATATAAATTGTACAATAGGATAAAATATGCAATACTTATGCTAGTGCAAAAAGGCAGATGGTAATGCCAGCAGAAAAATAATAATAATAATAATAATTATTATTATTTTTCTGGGGGTCTCATGGGTTAATCGGGACCCCCCCTTATTTTGCACTCTGTGAAAAACCATTAGGCTATGTTACTGTGACATGCTGTCAGACTATTTGCCCCTTCGTTTCAAAGAAGTGGATGCTAGTTGTGCAATAGCTGCAGTATTACACTGCATGCAGTGCTGGGACAGACTGTGCTGTTAACAGCGTTGAATACTGGGCTTCTGGTTGCCTTCGAAGGAATGTAAAACTTGGCTTCATGAAGTGCATTAGCACAAAAAAAAGCTAGCATGTGTATTATTTTAGAAGTTTTGTATAATGTCATGTACTTTTCTAACATCACAACCTGCCCAGTACAGTAGAGAAGTTACTTTGCTTTGCAGTGGAGGCAGAATGGGCGCTATTTAGGTAATAACTTCAGTTCATTAAAAGGCCTGGGAGCCTGAGGAAACTTAGCTGTCCCTAGAACTGCATACTTCTGGACTGTAATGTTTGATGCTGATAGAACTACTATCACTGGCACTGCATGAAAAGTGAGATT